AGGCATAAACATTCAAAGTTGGGAGGTTTTGACTTGCAAAGGATTGGTAATGGGATACATAGTATTTTATATCAGTTACTAGTAACTGAAAAAATTATTGGAGCTGTCTGGTTGTCTCTGAATTTTTTTCCCCTCAGTGCTGCGGTGAATGCAGGGCCTTGTAGAGGCTAGGCAGGTGCTCTCCCACCTCTAGCTGGAAAAGTTCTAATCTGTTTATTATTTTTACTGTATCTTCATATATGCTATACTGTTACACTGGACTATTATACCATATGCAGACTATGGTCCCTTTCTTATATTTTTAACTTATGAGTAGGTTGGGAGGTTTAGGAACAATGACTGCTTTATTCCATCAATTTACAAACAATTTATGATTGTATTCACATGTATTAATAGGGAAATGTTATAGAAAGTTCACATAGTTTATTTTTATATGTTTATTTGTATAGTCTGAAGATATAGCATATCTGCTGGGAAAAATGAAATTATAAGTATTGCAAAGTTAGAAATTTGACTCTTGTTGACATGCACAGGAGGAAAGAACAACATCAAATAAATTTTCTTTTTGTCAAAATACGTACCAGAACAGGCATTTAAATGAAATAGTGACACTGAAAAACAACATATATGCTTTAATGTTTGGCATTCCTTTGTCATAAGATGGTTTTGAGGTTTGAAAACAAATCATGTGTTGAATTCACTGATAAATGACCAATTTGTAGCATGGTTCTAGGAAATTACATTTTGAAAGCTGTTGCCATCAACCTCGTATTTTTGGTGTAGAAAGAAAATCAACCCTATAAATATGTGTTTTGGTGCAGAGCTACAGAACCTTTTCCTGTTTCAGTCATAAAGTCTGGGTTAAAAACAACAGTTTAAAATACTTTCCAGAAGGCTCAATGCAAGGTTTAAGTGCCAAGATAAACACTTTCAATTTTCTGAGGAAAAGGGTTGTTTTTCTTCTAAAAGAAGCACTATCACCAAATTCTTAGTGTTCTTGGCAAAAGTTAGTTTGAATAACTCAACAAAAGAGGTTTGATGAATGGTAAAATAAAACCATTTACAAAGTACTATAACCAAACAAAACAATGTTATATGTTTTTCTGAACTCTAACTTGTGTTTGGAATGAACAAACATTATACAATAGCATTTAGCTAGTCCAAATGCATTGGAATATTTTATTCTTAATTAAATTTTATTATAAGTACAGATATTTGTGGACACATATATTCAATTGTTAATAATTATTTTCAATTTAATTGCATAAAATCGAATACTTAAATATCATGATATTGACCCCAAGACTCCTTTTATTGTAACGTTTTTTGGCAAGAGTATAAGAGAAAAATTGTATGTTTGAAGAGCCAACTTATGGTTTTATCCAAATATATAAATGGGAAAAATTGAAATGAGACCCCTTTCAAAACAGAAAAAATGTACCAATATTATTTTTTCTTTAAAGAAAGAACTGGAAGAAATAGTTCCTTGAGTATTTTTCGAGTATGTTCCTTGGTTATGGTGGTTATATTGCAAGTTTATTTAAAAAGCAACACGATGTTTTTGGTGTTGAAAACTATGGTTAACCAAATGTGAAATGAAATATTTTACTCTTGAATAGCTTTTAATAGCTTTTAATTCATACATGAGAAAAAAAAAAGATTGTGCAAATGGAATTCTGAGATCATCTCACAGGCTTGAGCTGGGGAAAGGTAGTGTGTGTGAGAGAGCTTTAGTTCTGTTACACTTTTTAGCCAGCTGGCTTGCAGCAGTATAACTATAAAGTACTTGCTGTAGTCTTTTAGGAATTAATGTATAACTCAGGATGCACATATTTTGAAGACCCTTTGAAAGAAGGCTCTTTGTACTATCCCAGTGAACATTCTTTTGGGTGTTGCTGCCTCCTTGTTAAGTTATCTTATCATTAAGCATTCTTTTGTCATGACTGTACATTAGGGTATTGTCTATCATGATCAATGCAGGCCAAGTAGGATCATGAAAATTTGGTAGAAAATCTTGTCTCATGTACTACTTGAAGCAATTTTTTAAACTTTCAAATATGTATTTACGAGTAAAATAGCCTATTTTTTGTGTCAAAGAATTCATTATATTTCTTGAATTAGGATTAATTAGGAGGGAAAAAAGAAATTTTCTTTTGACCACTAACATTTTTCTCTTTTATGTGAGAAAACAAAGAATCAACAAAAAGCACAAAGAGAAAATATTATACTTAATCCTGTTCACTGAAAGAAAAAAGAAAGAAAAAAAGCAGTGCTTTTAAGCATCGTTGGTTTTGTTTTCAACTATAGGTATGAAAAATACCTATATTTTAGAGAAAGGAAGTAATTCAGCATGATTTCTTTGTTAGTTTAAACGAGATAGTATCATAGAGTATATAATAATTTTGATCCTAGCCTCATGACTACTAGTTAGACATTCTTCCCAAAAGTCTTTGCAAAGGCAACAGTTTCAACAGTTTGTTTCAAAATATAGATTGAAAAGCTCAGTCATGTCATAGCCATTAATCTATATACATAATGAACTATTTCACAGTGGACATATCTTACATAATCTGATGTTAACATGGAAAGGTACAGCATTTTTAGTCAGAAACCAGTGCAAATGACAGTTTATTGTCATTTTTAAGCATATTTAGAAATAGTGTTTTTCTGTTACCTGATGGTTTCTAATCAGCTCTTTGTGAAAACAAAAATAATAAACTATTTCATTACCCTTAAGATATAGGTTTAGTTTTTGTAGTTACTATTTATTGGTTGGAAAACCTGCGCTTTTTGATTACAAGACATTTGTGATTGTCATAGAATATCTTTGTATAAGCTTACCTTAGTGTCTTTGAACAAACTGTAACACCAACTAAAGAACTTCAGATCTTGGTCTTTTACTCATTTATTTAATGACCATTTAAGTATCAGGTAAGTTTTATTTAAAGTATTGCTTTAAAATATCCAAAATCCTCTTTAAAAACATTAAAATATTTATGACATTTGGAGCTTAAAACTTTGACCTCTTGGGAGAATTTTCCCTAAATAATTAGATTTCATTTAAAAAAAATCATTTGCAAAAAAAAAATTGATATGCTGAGAGTGAATTGGACATTTGGAAGGGAGCACATGATAGGACATCGGAAGATCATATTTTTATTATCCAGTAGAGAAAGTGTGATTACTTCTCTTTGAGTTAGTTTTCAGTTGCTATAACATAATATCTGAAACTGAGTTATATATTAGGAAAAAGGGTTTATTTAGCTCACAGTTTTGGGGGTGAAAGTCTAAGATTGGCTAGCCTCATTGATTTGGTCTCTAATGAGGGTCCCTTGTGTGGGTTCGTGATATGACTGATGATATCACACTGGAGCTACATTTAAAAGGGAAAGATCATATGGTGAAACAGGAATTGAGAAAGCAGGAAAGGGGTCTTTTCTCTTTTATAACAACCTTCTCATGAAAACTAATTGGGTTTCCCACAAGAATTATTTTTATTCCTTTTGAAGGCAGTCCCTCCAATGCATCCCACTATCTAAAAGTTTTACTATCTCTCACTTTGCCACACTGGAGCCCAAGCTTCTAATACATGAACCTTTGGGGACAAATCACATGCAAACCTTATCAACCCAAGTGAAGGTCATGGTGGTAATATTGTGAAGAGTGTATTTAAGATATGAGGGTTGCTTCATGGATGAGGAAGATGAAAGTTGCTAGAATTTTTTGTGAGCAAATTAGAATAGAGAGAATATGTGTGGAAATAAGTATAGGATTTGCAACTAGTGAGATTGTGATGCTTTTAATACATTTAGATAGAGAAATTTAGCTATCATTTGGTTGTTTGCTGTTAAAGAAATTCATTTTAGTCAGACATAGAAATTTTGGAGTTACCAGCATATAGAAAATAGTTTGAGCCATGTTATAGGTAGGTAGTATTC